TAATAATAATAAACGTTTCCAGACACACACCTAGGTGTTCAATGATATGAAAGAGGATCAGGGCCACTGAAGAAAAAAATATTTCTGACTTTTCCTCGTAATCTGAGGACTGCAGCCAAATGTAAGAATATAATTCATGAAATACAAATACTTCTTAAGTACAGTCCTTTTATTTGAATGATTCTGTCCTGCTGGAGTGTGACATGATTTGTTTGTGTACAAACTAATACACTATCAGAGTTTTATATATTTATACTTCTCATTCAACCACAGTTAAATTCACTCTATCTAGGAGGCTCAGTTTATATGGATAGTTGTTATTTTTTATAATAAGCAGCTGGAATGAAAACAAGCAAAAATGAAATAAAAGTAACGACTTTCTACTTCTTGTATTTTTAAAAATGRAAGGAGTAGAAGTAAAAAGTAGATTGAAAAATATTTACTCAAGTATAGTACAGATACCCAAAAATTCTACGTAAGTACAGTAACAAAGTATTTGTACTTCGTTACTTTACAACTCTGGCTTTGCATATGTGCGGGGGTCATAAATGCTACGTTTCTTGTTTATTTTTAGTTTACTACTTTCTGATCATCACTCCACTCAGACAGAATTTGCAGTAAATTCAAAGGTCTTAAAAACAGGATTTTGGTCAGAAAACAGCAGGAAGTTTCACACTCAGCACCTTTAAATCTAAACTCAGGGGTGTGTGTGAAGCTTTATACCGTCATAAAGCAGCGTTTTAACTCGGGGCCTCGGTGGGGGGGCTCACAGAGGCTGGACTGTGCCACGCTGCAGCTGCTGGAAAGTGCTTGGCTCATGGAAACCACAGAGCAGCTCCAACAAGTCGACACACCCAGCAGCTCCACCCACAGCTTCTGCTCACAAACACACAAAGTGACGAGTTCCCAAAGACAAAAATCACATTTATTCCATCTGAAAATACTGCACAATATAAATATTACAAAAAATACTTTGTGTGAACTTTAACACTGTTTACACAGAAACATGTTTGTCTTGAATCGGCCGCTGCAGGAGCTGAAAGACCTTTTATTAACAGAGCAGCTTTTATTCTTCCCACCTGCAACACTTTAGTGTCGTGTAGATGTCAACATCTGAGATAAAAAGACAAAAATACTTTATTTATGCAGTAAAATATATTTTAGTTAAAATATTAAGTAGATTTTTATCAATATAGGTTTTGAAAAGTTTAAATTTGTAGTCCAACATGAAAAACAAACTGATTTCTACAATTTGTGTTATTTTGGCAGCAGAAAAAAAAAGAGAAAAGGTTTCATTGTGTGTAATAAGTGAAGTAATTTCACAGCAGAAATGACAAATTAAAGAGCTTTTTCTGCTCATTCATCAACGCCTTGTGTTGTGTGAAAATATCCTGGCTGCTTTACAAATGATCAATTAAAACAGCAACAAATGATGGAAAAACAAGTGTTTAAACCATCACAACATGAACAGGAATGATTGATAGAACCGTGTTTAACCCTCCTCACTTTGCTTGTTTCACTTTACTGACACCAAACAATGAAACAAATCGACAAACTCAAACAGTTTGTATAACATTTACAAATCCTTTTTGGTATTACTTACTTATTTTGGGAAAACTTATATAATTAATAGATTAAAAGATGCCTCCTCTTTTTTCCCTTAGTAATTATACCTTTTTTAAAACTTTCTAATTTACTATAAAACTGGATACGGTAAAAAAAAAAGAAACATTTGGTAAAATGTAGTTTTTAAGCAGATATAAGTTAACATTAAATAATTTTCCAGTTAAAGCCAGAGGTGACAGATCCAGGAGCTGCTCAGTGATTCTCAGACAGAAGAGCTCAATCTGTAGAGATAATTAAAGATTTCAGTTTCTGTCCGATAGTCTGTGTTTGMTGTTGCTTTGGTCAATCGTCTCGGTGCTTTCACACCAGAAACACTCCAAAAATAAGAAGTGAACAAATTAATAAGAAATCAGCTCCATTTTATCATCAGCAGAGACGTTCCTTCAGCATTTAGTTGTAACTGAAMTCTTGCTGCTGGTTTTCGTGTCCATCTTGGCGACGAGCAGCCGGAGAGAGTCTCCTGATGATCGGATCAACTCTCTGCCGCTGAAAGGAGAGAGATGAAACGAGACGTGAGGTCAGAGATGGGTTTATAAAACATCTAATAATCTAATTATAAATATTAACTAGGGCTGCAACAATCCATGTATCTGTAAGGAGCCATTCAATACAGTGCTTTAGGTTCAACAACATGGATTTTTTAACATTTATTTCATCAGTGTTGAAGGATCAGTGGATCTGTGTTCGACTGCTCCACCTAGGCTGCATTGTCGAGCACAGATCCACTGAGAAACTTGCTGTTTCAGCAACATTTAATTTAAAAACTGGACTTTTGAGCTTAAACAAATGTTCATAATAATTTCAATATATTACAAGTTAAGAAAGGTGTGGACATTTCTCTGTTTTGTATCGAAAAAATATCGAACCGTGAGACTAAAGTATCAAACAGAATCGTCAATTTTCTGTCTCGTTGCAGCTCTTACATTAACATTCTATGTGTGAATGTTGTTAAAGTTTGATTTGAATCTGGATTATTTTCTAACTGGATGTTATATTGTGTCCTGGTGTGAGTGTTGTTGTATAGAYACCAGCTTACACATTATATTCCATCCCAACCAGGCTGACTCCGTTCACAGCCAGGATCCGGTCTCCTGTTCTCAGTTTCTGACACAGAGCAGCCGGAGAGTCGGGAACAACTGACTTCACATAAATGCCACTCATTCTCAGCGGCGTTTTCTAAAAACAAAAAAACACAATAAAATATTTTACACAACAAGGACATTTTGCTTATCTGTTTAAAAGTCAGTTTTTTCAGCTCTTTCAGCCTCAGTTAAGCTGTAAAACACTAAAATAGTTGAACATTTTCGCACCGTCCCATCAACGAGCGCCAGGCCGAGACCATGTGGCCCTCTGTGGACCTCCACCGTGAACACTTCCTCTTTGTCTTCTTCTGCTTCCCTGTTTCCTGTTGCAGAGTTTCCACCCACTGAACAAACAGAAAACACACCAGGTCAAGTACGAGAAGTGCAACTTTTGTTTGTGCTCCTCTTAATAAACAGATCCTAAAAACTTTTCTTTTAAAAGCTTCTATAAATCTATTTCAAACAGCTGTGGGTTGATTATTTTAATTAAAAACCTGTCAATCAGTGAGTCGCAGCTGTGGGTAAATAAATGTGGAGCAGGGTGGATCTGTGCTGATTAACAGGGTCTTCCTGTCTTCTGACTCGTGCTTCTTCCCCACCCCGCCACTAAAAACAAAAAAACTGTTCCCACCCGTGCAGTTCTACCCTTCGTCCCCCACTCTCCTCCTCCTCCTCCTGCCTTTTCCCAACACGCGGCCCGTCTGCCCCCCACGCAGGACCTGTCCTGAACAATGCCGCCGCCGATTAAGATTCCACGCACCAACCCAGCTGTAAATTCCCATGACAGATCGGCCACTGCTCTTTTCTCTCCTGACATCACCACCTCTCTGTAGCTCCTCTGCTCAGATTAAAGGATRAGCAAACTTTGAACATAACATTTGTCCGCTCGTCAGAAACACCGAGGTAGATCMGCTGGAGGCGGGGGCTCGGCGAGGACCACGGTTTCACAACAACCTTCAGCTCAGAGTTGTAAACTAACTAAGTACAAATACTTTGTTACTGTACTTATGTAGAAATTTTGGGCAACTGTAATTGAGTAATTATTTTTCAGCGTACTTTTTACTTTTACTCATTACATTTTTGCACAATTATCTGTACTGTCTACTCACTAC